AAAAGCCTATCTTAGTAGTGTATTAAAATAGGCCAATGCATTACAGTGCAATAGCATAGGACTTTCGAGTTGTTACTGTTCCAAGTAGCGATAATATACATATTTCTCTTATCTTATATATCTCTATATAGTATAGTAAATCATGTTTTTAACACAGGAAACTCTCATATGGTAACTAAAACAATGCTAGTTCAGAGTATTACTAGTACTACAGCACTGTAATGCATATACCTATTTTAATACACTACTGAGATAGACTTATTTTTCAATCTTGATTTCAGAGGTCAACAAAACTTTTCAATTTTTTTTCAATCATATAGTGGTGTAGACTAGTCTTTTAAGAACATTTTGCTGGAAATTTTTTTTGGATACGACGCCCCGTTATAGAGTTATGATTTTTTAAATAACATGATGTCAAAAAATCCGCTCAATAGCTTATCTTATTTCTGTTGGTTACGCACCGCTGATTCGCAATGTTTGTCATCACTTCAAGATGTCTACCGATTCGTGAAAAAGGCGTTAGTGGTGAGCTGTTATTGATATTCTGAGTATCATACAGTATGTATCCATTGCATTATACTGGATATTGTAGTTTTATGGCACACATGAGCAATAAATGGCATGTTTTTGAAGTCGATCAGGTAAAAATACATATACACCTGGGCACAACAAGCCATATAACCTCAGCCTAACCATACTGGCTAGGCACAGCCCTAGGCTCTGGAGGAGGCCGATGTTCGATCATTTCGGCCGGCGCGCCAAATGTATGCAACGCCAAGGAGGCCACCGAATACACAACAGCCGCCAATGAACAATGAAGAACGTAGTCATTTAACAGTTGGATACGTCAGTAACAAAAAGGAGAAAATAGGCCTACAGTGAATAATTAAGGATTTATTTACTTGTATAAAAACATAACGTATTAAATCAAAAATATTAAAACTATATTTGTTTCAACATTCAGTAGAATGTGTGTTATTAATATAATATAGGTATACACCTATACATGTTTCTCCTGACGCAAATCCAGTTATTGTCTATTATTCCATCACGACAATAACAATTACTATAATATAGCCTAGGCCCTGCCAAATAAGTAATTATGTATTGTTAGTTTTATCAGGGAGTTGTTATTTACCTGGTTTTATTGTACATCCTCCGATATGTTTTATGAACAATGTGAAAATGTTTGATGTTGATACGTTAGATTTATTTTTTTAATGTATGTAGTGTAAAATAGCATGCGGCTGTATAGTATCTGTATTTCGTCACTTGTTGATATGTTTAAATCTGCCTAGGCACAGCCTATGATGTCGATCAGAGATAGGCCTAGACCTAGGGGCTTGGTAGGTGTAGTTAGCATACCTAGGGCCTATCCTCTGTCTCTCGAATCCGGGTCGATTTGGATAGTACATTAAGATAGAGATAGGAGAGTCGACAAAAGCCAGCTCCACCAATCAATACCTTGAATTTATGTAAATACGTCGGGACAATGTTTATGGGTTCTTTTGAATGTCAATAGTTAGGATAAGCCTTACATGCATCCACCTTGATTCAAGACAAACACTTCTCTGATGACTTACAAGAGGGTAGGCCTAGCCCAAAGCAACAGGGAAAGATCCAGTAGGGAAGAGAGACGTCAATGGGAAGGGCTCCTGCCTCGTTTTGCCACTAATTATTCTGAAACTGTTGTGCGCCCCAAACGTTGCTACTGTATCGTTGCTGGGAGTTGGGAAAGTGTGTTTCAGTATCTACTGTGGGCCTAATAATAATATAATGTGCAGATTGATTCTTCAATTGCTTTTTTTTCTCATCATCCACTATATTCTTTGGTTTGTCCTTTTTTACACAGCGGTTCTTTAAGTTTTACACTTCTCTTTCTATTCCTTAGTTTTTCTTAGTGTTCTAATATCATTATAAGTATATTATTATTCTAAAGCAGCACCATCGTCTCAACAACTGATTTTCCATTGATCTTTTTTTCAAATTGTGGAGTGGTTAGAAAGTGGATTTAAGCCATTGCATAATTTATAATGATTGTGTGTCTGTTTCATCCAGCCGTTTGTCAACCGCCCTGTGTTCATGGTGAGTGTACGTCTCCAGGTCATTGTGAGTGTGAGGGTAATTATGTCGGCGACGACTGCTCGGATCGTAAGTTTTGTTGTAAATACATTTAAAATTTAAATTATTAAATTGGTTGCAAACTATTAATTTAATCAATTAAATAGTTTCTTCTTTTTTCTTTGAATCATTGCATAAACATTTTTGAATATTTCTTCCTTTTACTTGGTTCTTAGTTAACGAATGTAGGAGTGAAAACGGTGGATGTGATCACATATGCGAAAACTTTAATGGAGGATTTGAGTGTAAATGCTTTTCTGGATACACACTGTCAATGCTTACTGAATGTTTACGTAAGTACTTTTGAGGAACTAGAGGCAGGTGGCCCCAGCATAATGAAAACTTTTCATCTGTTTTTGACAAAAGCTCATTCAAGTAAATCTGACCTACATCTTATGCATGAACGCACTTACCACAGAAAACTCGAAATCCGTAGCTGCTTTTGGCTTAAAGCAGGTGACATAATTCATAGAGTATAGCGGGTTCAGAATACAAAATTTTAAAGATAAAATGATCACTGGTTATTTAACCAACCAGCATGAGACTTAGATGTCAAGGATAAAGCTTAATTTATGAGCTACACTTGACACCCTGAAGTTTAGCAACTTGTCGTTGCAGAGTTATGTTAAGAAGGAACAGGAAGTATACCAAAAAACACTATAATTTTAACCTTTTTCCTATGCCAAAGCAAGATGTTGTAAAGAAAAATGATCACTCAATTTTGCATTAATTGTAAGAATATACATATGGTTATAAAGCTTAAAACATCTAGTTTTATAATCCGATTGCCCCAGATTGCCAAATGAAATCATTCTAATTATATAGTCGATTTTGTAAGAAAAAGGGGTCTCGTTTTCATTATGTGGGGAGAAAAACCGCAATTCGTCAGGGAGAAATAAAATGTATATGTACATTCTATGTATTAATGTACTATAAAATCGATTAAATAAGCTTTTGAAACCACTAATTATCATATTTTAAAAGGTAAAACATTTTCAAGAGATTGTTGTAACCCGTGAGAGAGAGGAAGACTCTTCTGCATGTCTCACGTCTTGACCTGAGAGATACATCTGATTACCGAGATATTAATGTGCACTGCACATATACTGTAGTACCGTTATCGTTTGTAGTGTCTAGATGGTTTAGCATCACAAAACAACAGAGTGAGACACGACTAATGAATGTGTTAAGTTACAGATGTCATGCTCCTCTATAGACAGCTACTGGTCTGATGAAAAACAACTGTTAAAGTCTTCATTTTCTCTCAATTTATCTGATATGGAATGTTATTCATTTGTTTAATCCAAATTTGATCATCTGTGTTGTTACAGTTTTTCAGATCGTTAGGTTTTGAATCTGACTTTTATTGAGGACCCCGGTTTTGCATTGTGTCTGTAGGCTTTGAAAGAAGTGTAATTATAAGAGATTGTTACAGTTACTCTACAGATTCAATTACAAAAGTTGATGATGTTTGCAAGAAACAATGATAATGGATTATATTTTATTATGATTCTAATTACAGCTGTTTGTGTTCCACCTTGTGAGAACAACGGTCACTGTTCAGGCCCAGGCCAATGTAACTGTCCCGACACATATACTGGTGATAGATGCGAAGATGGTAAAAATTTTATTATGACTTAAATTAAATATAAATCATTTTGGTTCCATTACCTAGTGATTATGTGAATCACTTGGCTCAATAACCAAAAATTGACTTTCGATAAAATGTACTTAAAATATATTTATATTTTGCAATGTTGTGTAGAGGTGCAAGGGTTCCTGATAGTTGACTATAGTTATCAAAAACAATAAATTTGGTCGTTTTATTACCATTATTAATACTATTATCGTTATTTTTCTTTTTCAATTCAAACAAGATAATCTGATTCCGATCTATGTACTGAAAAAATTATGGCCCATGGTCAATCCACTAAAGTTGGCTCGGCCTAGCATCAATCGGGCAAATTTTTAGGCCATTAGCACACCTACCCACACACAAATACACACAAAGAGACGTGCACAATTGCAATAATGGTAATGGTTGGAGAATTATAGAGCGCATAATACGTGGTCTCTGCGTGCTGTATTGAAAAAAAAGCAAAACCTATTTTAGTAGGTAAAACTAGCTAACAATGCTAAAATACATGTATATAACCGAAACAGACTAACTCTTAGTAATGAGCGCTGTTGCTCCTCCTTTGGAGAGGCAAGGATGATAAATTTAGATAATATAATATAGGTATTCTACACAGATTGAAGACACCCATTTTAAGCCATTTTGAATAACATTGCTTTCAAAGAAATTTTCTAATTTGTACGGTTTTCTATTTTGCATGAATACATTCATCTAAGTTTATAAAACACATTTCTTTCATAACATTGGTGTTTTAAAAAAAATTTATTTTAGATGTTGATGAATGTTTAGTGGATAATGGAGGCTGTGATCATACCTGTGAAAACCTTCCTGGAAGGTTCAGCTGCTCATGCCAGGATGGGTATACGGGTACAAGTGACTGTATTGGTAAGAATTTAACCCATCCAATACTATGTGTTATGACCTTGTAGTTGTGCTTCCGCACAAATCACAATGTTGTTTGTTTCCCTCCGAAAAAATAACTGAAAATCATACATTTTATTAGGCCAGACTGTCAGATTTTTTTTTTAATTGTATGAATTGAGATTTTTATATTAAGGTCAATCTATTTTAGGTCTAAAATGCACTTGTACATTTTGTCGGTGTACAGTATGTCTAGTGTAAATTTTACCTTTAATTTCAAAATAAATTTATATAGGCCTATGTGTGTGTGTGTGTGTGTGTGTGTATTCCCATTTGGCTGACTAGTTTTGATTTACATTTTGCATGTCTTGTGTTGTTGTAAAATGTATTTCAAATCAGTCATGCTTGGCTAGTTTTGATTTACGCTTTGGAACAGAATTTGGAGAGGGCGTTTGATCAAGTCAGACCTACGTTTTGAATTGAATTACATTTTAAAGAAATTAGAACTACATTTTTGAAAAGTTGAGTTCATTTTGGGAAACTAGATCTACATCAATTTTACGCCTACATTTTGATATTAGACATTGAATTTTGCAATTAAATTTTGATTTTAACTTTTGCTGCGTATGGCACCCCATATTAGACCGGGCATTGTACTGTAAAAGCATTTGAACAGGCTGAGATATTGTTCTGCATGCCTCTTTACATTCCAAAATTTAAAACAATAAACCTTGATTATTATAATAAAGTAGGTTATTGATTTGGTATTCGTGTAATTTTTACAGCACTTTGTTTTGTGTGTATCCCTATCATCAATATCATGAAATATTACATGAGACACAAATATATGCACATTTTTTCTTTAGATATTAACGAATGCACATTTGCGAATTGTCATTCTTGCATTAACTCACCTGGAAGCTTTGAATGCATCTGCAAATCAGGATATGAAGTAGCTAATTTATATAATTGTGAAGGTATTTATAAATATATAGTTGGTAGCATTTCGAGTGGTGTTTAATAAATCAGTAGCCTTGAGTGTTTGTGGTAGTGTGGTTTAAAGTTTTATTATTTTACGCTGATGATTCTAATTTAGTCATAAAACATAAAACTACTAACGCGTATTGTAATGTTTTTATTATTTTTCAATTAGATGTTGATGAGTGTGTAGCTGGTATTGCAGAATGTACCCAACACTGCTCCAACACTATTGGTAATTTCAGCTGCGATTGTGATGAAGGCTGGACACTAAATCTTGATGGAAAAACTTGCACTGGTAATTTTAAAAGTATTATACATTTTTATAAGCTCTTCTGCTTACAGAATTGGCGTATTATGCTATTGCTTTCGTCTCTATAACCACAGATCCCATATTATCTGTGGTATAACCAAGTAAACCAAGTAAGTAAAAGGATTTTGTACCTGAAGCGAAGCTATTTGGTTTAGGCCAAGTGCAGGCTGTCTTGCGTAGATTTCTCTAGCGGTAGGTACCATACTTAGTTTCTTTAGCAGTTATGTCAACACCGTAAAACCTCGTATAGAAGCACAATGGGCTTAATCTCGAGAAAGAAGCCAACTTGAAAAAAAGCTCCCTTACCCACACCATCTTTATTTTGAAAACAATAATTTCGAAAAGAAGCCCATCTTTCTTTCTTTATTTGCCTTTTTCATAAAGAATACAAAGCTTGTATAAGTCACTTAGTATGAGAAAACATTGCAATATTCAAATTAGGAAACCAAAAAATAGCTTGAAAGCTATTCAAGTCCAGTTTTACTTACATAAATATTACCTACACTAATATTTTTACATTTTCATATGCAAAGAAATACTTAGATTATACAACATCATTTAAAATATTTTACTTATTCGAGAGATAAATAATGCTCTTTGAGTATATTTTATGAACTTATATTTTAAGTTAAAATATGATGAATGATATTCCAAGAATATTATTTTTTTGTTCCATGTCTTTGCAGTGTAGTTACAATTCCTAATATTATGGGTGGGTGATATACAGATTACTACCTGAAGATGCATTACAGAGTAAATTTAATATTATTATTTCCAAAACATGGAAAATTGAAAATCCTAATCTATATGCATTAGATTCATACTCATTTAAATATGTATGCTGTGATGTCGGAAGGGGCGGTGATGTTGCTGCATATATTCACTTGTCTGTTTATTTCAAGAAACCTAATTTTAAAATAGCTAATTCTTAGTCAATTTGGTTAGAAATAACTGTTGGAAAATAACATTTTATTGTAAGTGTGTTGTATAGAAAACTAATGGATTACAAGACGTTCTTCATCATATAAAATTAGACAAGAATCAATTTATTCTTCTTGGTGATTTTAAATGTCGATTTGTCAAACCTAGTAGTTTCCAAGCATTCTGTATATGCACAGAAATGGCTAAGTTTGTCAGATTATTGCAACATGTACCAGAATTACAAATAACTCACTAGGTGTATGTAAATCCAATACTGATGCTGGTACAATAGCCAGTAATAATTATATCTGATAATTAAAATAATATCTCTACGTACTGCGATTTTATTAATAACATACAGTATCTATGCAGTTTTGAAATCTGGTGTATTCATCAACAGATTTCATGCCACTTATAATATATTCTTTTTATAATTTAGTACTGGTAACCATTGTGAATATCATGCACCTATTGTTTAAGAATTACTTAAAACTGTTGCCAAACATAAACCTTGGATTAATGAATACATAAATGAATTAATTTAAAAAAAAAAAAGAATTTTGAAAAACATAATTTTAAAGTGAAACATCAAACGTACAGCTCCACATTGCATGACTTTTCTTTAGCGGTAAAATAATTTTTTTTAAATGACATAAATTTAGAGTGTAGATTAGATAGTAGCTAAGCCCCCTCTTAGTTTTAAATTGCTGTCTGAAAAAGAAACCCACCTTGAAAAAAAGCCCATTAGGCCATAAAATAATTATACAAAGAGCCTATCATTTTATTAATTTGTGGTAATTGTGGTAATAAATTATATCAAATTATGATCAAAACATTTTCGATACACTTCAGTCAGCCTATAGGCTTCATCATAGTACGAAAATAATTTTTTTGCGAGATAAGCACTAAAAATTCTTTGTGTAATGGTCGTAGGTGATGTTCACACTCTGCAAAACATGAAAATACTGCTGCCAGATTTATTTTCTTTCTGGTAAAGCCTGTATACCTACATCTCTCATTTGTGAACTGCATTGTTTATGAGTCCAGCAAAGAATAGAATTCAAACTACTTCATCATTAGACTTACATATTGTATTGTTTATCTTACCATGATTGTCATAAATCCAGATCTTGCTCATTGTATAGGATAAGGGTGATAC